TATATATATATATATACAATGTCTGTCTAATAACAAATACAGTATTTGTATATGCTATATTTTGCATTTTTAGCTTAGCAACATGCTACCAACCAACTATTGCTATCAATTGTGAGTCATGTCTCCTGTGTGGTTTGTGTGAGGAGCACTATTTATATGACGCACAGAGTTACTGCCTATATAGAGTGCTCCAAATCTGTCACTTTATTTCAGTTAGGATGCTGCCTTAGAAGAGGACAGCTAGGCAGCTCATTAGATTTCGGAACAGTTTATATGTACCCTATCAATAAAAAATTTAAGTGATAGCATTATTTTGATGTGCATATTTTTTTCTCCAGCAAATTTTATGTCATAATGACGCTGAATTCACAAAATTTGCTGACCCTGTAAGAGCTTATAAGAAATGGCAGCTATACAGGTGATCTCAGGGACTGTTGCTAGGCGGTGATGTCTTTCTCTTAGCAGCACAGCGTGTACTTGAATCAGGTCAATGAGCTCCACTCTTTCAAGTATCTCTAGCCTTTGTCTTCCTGAATAATTAATGATGTTTCATTGACTGTGGTCTGTGCACATTGTAACCAAAAAGATCAAAAATGTCCAGAGAAGATAAAGGACACATGATTGAGAAAGTTTCACCTCACTGGCCTTTGGTTTTGTTTGGTGCGGTTTGGTGGTTTGTACATGACAATGGTGTGGATGTCAATGCTAATGAGAAGAAGCGCAGTCGCAAAAGGAAATAATTATCCTGAGTGCGGTGAAGTGGAGCTTGTGCATGGCAACAAAACCATAGAAGAAGTAAAAAATGATGTTCAAGATGAAAGAGTGCATGTCCCAAGGTTGTTTAGCTCACATGTTTGATTCACATGAACAATCTTTCTCTTTTTCTCTCGCATCTCACAGGTTGAGGATCAGGAGTCATGGAGTCTCTCTTCGGGGGCCAGTTGGGCTTGCTGGGGGGTAATGAGGGTCTGAAAGAAGATGGCTGTGGGGTGGGCTGGTCGAATTCTCCCTTGTCAGAAGACATGTACTCTGCCTCCCATTTTGCCCTCATCAGCGCCTACCAGGACATTAAGACTCGACTGGCCGGCCTTGAGCGAGAAAATGCAGACATCAAAAGAAAACTCAAGATTTATGAGATAAAGGTACAAAACGCCCTTAAGATCCTTTAGTCTCAGATACTGTAACAGATATCAGTGGAGGTCACCTTAGACGTTGGTCAGTGGTGTAACAATGCAGGCTGATCAGTATATGGTGTAGAATTGACTTTTTCACTCAGAAATTGCTGCAAATTTCAAAAAATAATAAAAAGAAATGACAAGTAGCACATTTAATTAATGTTTTTTTTTTAAGAGAAAGATTGAAACAGTATTCCAATACTCCAATAATGCAACAACTTTAAAATATTCAGTTTTTACAGCATACTTGGTTTTGTAGTGGAGTTGTATGTCCACTACTGTACAATATAGCTTTATATGCCCTTTATACTGTACAATATATCTTTATACGTTTAATGATTAAAACACTAAAAATGTCTGAAGTTACTGTTCTGCATTGTCTCCTCTGTAGCGACTTTCTGTCATACATTATGTATTTATCATATGGAGGCCATTTATTCTAAAACCTATACAATCTAAATTATACAGTGGAGTCCACTTAAAAACTATTTGTGAAAATGCTGTACAATTCATCCGCAGTTATTTTATATGACAACAGCACTTGATCTGCATGAACTGCACAAGTTTGTGTTAAGCCTGATGATCATGTTATCCAGCTTTATTTGACAATGATCCAAAAAGTATCTTGTGCTTCAGTGGAAGCACAAATAACTTTTGATTAGTGACCTAGAAATAGTGCAGAATCTTAAATTACTATTATGTAACTTCCTTGTTTAAAACTGCCAGCTTATTTCCAGGTTTAAATGAAAAACACTGCAGATTTCCAGTGTGGTCTTGTAGACTTGTAGATAAAATAGTCTGTTAAACATAATTAAGCTCATCAAAATATCAAAATGATTCATTTTCAAAAGCCGTGGCCTATCAAATTAACCTGTAGTTTTTATTATAACAGTGTAGGATTTTTTTTTTTTAGCTAATGTCGTATGTATGGCATAATTATCCAGTTAAAAATGGGGTTATCCTTGTTAGCCCCAAACCCTTTCTCCTGCTCCTCGCTGCCTCATCTCACATTAATGCAGAGACAGTGACATGGTCACAGGCATACTATATAGGGCATTTAATTAGAGTAGAGCAGAGTGGACACACACAGTGAGAAATAATATGGGTATCTGGCACACAGCTGAGAATTGCACTGAGAAAGAGCATAATAATTAAACTAACTACTTCCTGTGTCGAGCAACCTTAGTTCAATTGATCAGAAAGAGTTAGGCAAACTACGTTTCTTTAATATGTGGCACACTACTCTCTCAGGAGAAAGTGAGAGATTCAAACAGGACATGAATCTGTAGATAGAAAGTTATATTTTCATGTACATAGATTACCGTTCTAAAGTTTGAAATGGTCCTTCAGAAATTATTGTAACATGCTGATTTAGTGTTCAAGAAACATGTGACACTGAAAACTGGAGCAATAACTGCTGAAAATTCAGCTTTGTCACAGAAATAAATTACATTTTATTATATATTAAAATAGAAAACTTCTTAAATTGGTAATAATATTTCACAATATCACTGTTTTTACTGTGTTTTGATCTAATAAATGTATCCTTGGTGAGCATAGGAGACTTATTTCAAAAATATGAATATCTTCCCAGCCAGTTACGCCACTGATTCTGGTAAAAGCCAAATTTTTTATTTAACTGTTATGGAGTTTCTTTGCAGTTTCCTTGTGAAAAATTGTGACCTATGAGTGCTGATATATATACTGTTGTCAGAGTTTGTTTAAGCGTGTAACATTGAGTTGATTAATAACTGTGTCTGCCTGCTTCATGTATGAAACAGCTTTATTTATAGCCCAGCTGACACGTGAGCCGAGCTGTACATAAACAAGTATGCAGGCTCTCTGTAATTATCATGTCAGGCTCTCAAATGAAAACAGACAAAGCCACTTATACACACAATACAATATGCTCCTGATGCTGTTTAGATCACTCGGTTGATAGGAAGGTAGATCACATCTCTATTAATCTTTAAAAATGTAACTGAATATCATTCACATGAGATTTTCATTTAAATTGGGCAGAAAGCTTTTCTCTAAAATGATGATCAGCACTCAGAAGTGACAGCAATGACTGAGCAGGAAAACACTATATGCATAATATTTTAGGATCATGTCAATTATCTGCCAATATTACATATATTTGCATTTATTAATATAGGCTGATGTTGGACATGTTATTATTCATTCTCATTTCTTCTTTTATATATTTAGATTGTTAGCCATCATCTAATGCTCAATTAAAGTTAATATGTAATAGCACTGTTAAATGTCATCTTTAACAAATCTTAAAATGAATATTGGATTGATATACAAAACTGTCAAATATTAACCTTATATTGGAATCATTATGAGCACAAGCTGTAATCGCTATCTAACATGTTCATTGTGTCTGCTTTACAGAATGCATGCTTTTTATCAACCACGTAACTGTATATTACTAACATATGGATATTACTTTAACACACTCATCTATGGCTGACAACAAAATACTTCCTAATTATAACATTCAAACAAGCATTTCTGTAAAGCTGCTTTTTACCGTATTGTGAAAAGCACTATGCAAATAAACGTACAAAACTGCTGGTTCATTTGATGTGATCTTTGGGTACAACTAGGTAGGCTGGGCAGCTGCCAGGCCTCAGGGGAGCTGCAGGTAGAAGATGCTCCAGATTGGATATCTTTAAAGCTTTTTGGTTTGGCCCTGCCCAAATATATGCATGTATACGCACCAACGACGGCTAGCCTCTGAAGAACAGCTGTTTTTGCAGAAGGCGAGAGAGAGCGCCTCCAGGGTTCTGCGTTCCGTGTGGCTCACTGCCTAGGAAAGGGCTAAACGTGGGGAACTAATGCACACAGCTCTTTAGGCTCGTAGGAGTAAAAATATATGAGATCCTCCACATCAAAGCACACAGCATCTACTGATGCCAGCAGTGAGGTAGAAGATGATGTAGGAGCTGAACTTGTAGCATGCAAGAGCAGACCTCTCTAAATGGAAAGGACTGTTTGATAATAAACCCCTCAAATTGCTTTGTCACCAACTTGCATTTATATATATTCTATATATATTCTGGCAATTACCTTAAAACATAACTAATACTGGTTTTATAGATGTTTTGCAATGGTTAATCATATATTGCAGACTAACTTTATCCCATCTGGAGGTCATCCAAGGGCAAAAACCTGTTTCATGAGCATTTTTTTCTTTCGCTGTTGCCATATCGTTCACAAGTTTAGGATTAGTAAGGTTTTTGATGCTTTTGAGATGTCTCTTATGCTCATCAAAGCTGCATTTCACCAAAAATACAGTAAAAACAGTGATATTATGATTTTATTATAATTTAAAATAACTTTTAAAATCTGAATTTACAGCAGCCATTATATACTTATATGTATATACTTATATGCTTATATATACAACCAAGTATATACAGTACTTTTATATAATTATAAAGCTTTTCATGATTCTTTTACACTGTAAAAACATTCTTTTTCAAAGTTGTGAATAAAACAAATATTATTCCAGAACATTTACAGGAAAATACTGTTTCAGTTGTTTACTTCAGAATTTCGTGTTTAATTGAATGTGTTACTTGCTGTTTCTTTGTAATTCTTTGTGAAATTTAATAGCAATTTCTAAGTGAAAAAGGAAATCTGACAGCATTTTTTCCAGAGCAGAATTGCTAGAGATCTTTCATGCATCAAAAAAGATATTGTATGCGCTCCAAAAAGATAACCAGTCCATTCTCAGGTGCGTAAATCAAGAAAATGTTATCAATCAAAAATGTCCGCACACTGAAAGACATTCAGTTAGACCAAGGCAAGGGTCTATCACAAAAATTACTTTAATTTAACATCTACAGAGTGAAAAAACTGCTAAAAAGTGCAAAGTGTCTTAAAAACAGACCAAAGAGCAGATGTTTCAGCTCATGCTTTCTTCAGTGCTCATGGAACAAACAGCAACACCACTCTACTTTAAACACAATTACAAATTGTTACCAGCTGAGCTCGATCAATAGGTGATTACAAAAAAAAATATTACAAAAAACTATTAAAAAAGTCCATCTCTTCATTCAATCCAGTAGGGGTTAACGATTTCAGCTCAAAAATCCAAAAAGCCTCTCTTTGTAATAGTTTTTTTGTCATGGTTACCCCCTCTCCTATGTGGCAGAACCCTCTCAATGCCCAGGAACTTGAAATCCGAAAGAGAATCCTTAGCGGACTCAAAATGGCGAAAAACTGGAGAAGTGTAATCTTGTCTCCTAATGGCACTCATATGTTCTATAATTCTGGTGCGCAATGCACGTTTTGTTTTTCCAACGTACAGTAGGGGACAGAGACACATAATTATGTATATCACATGTGTAGTTTTACATATAATCAATTGTTTAATTTGATTAAAATTTTGCCACAAATTGGGTGTGTAAAAGATTTATATTTTATATAATAAAGACAAGCAGTACAATCTTTATATGGAAAGTTTCCTTGGGCATCTGAGAGGGTCCCTGGAGTGGTTTTTCACAAACATCTGTATTAGAATTGTTTACCAACTGCTTTCTGTACAACTTAAATTGTGCTGAATTTGGTGAATAATGTGCAATCTGTAGACCTCATTTGCATATTTGTGCTGAAAACAATGACAATGACTTAATCTAAATACTCACAGTGCAGCATTAAACCAGTGCAGACAGCCCTGTTAATCCAGATTGCTGGATGTCAGTTAATATGATGTTTTTTACACCAAAAATGGCGCAATGTTTATTATACCCATTATGATTCTATTTGTGTTTGTGTTGACCACTGTGTCACTTTTTCATGTATGTGTGTGCAGTTTCCCATGATAAGCGAGTTTGGAGATGACAGAAACTCCTACTGCTCCTTTGAGCCCAAAGACACAGTGCTGCTCCAGTCAGAGAATGGCAGTCTGCAACAGAGAGTCAACATGCTGACCCTCGAGGTGAGAGGACACACATATACACAAACACACCTAAATACACACACCCAACCCTTTCTGGACTGTATTTCATCTGATGTTCTGCTAATTTCAAACAACCGCTTGTTATATTATGGCTTGGCTATATTGTGTTGCAAATCTGGATTACACGTCACAAAATGGAAAGATTAGAGCGGTAATACGATTAGTAGGGAAACGAAGGACAACTTCAGATGGGCAGTCATTCATGACAAAAGGCCTTACAAAATCTAGACCACAAAGCATTCATTTTTGTGTGCCTGAAGCCCGCTCTAAATTGTCTCTCCCGACTGGCTGTGATGTGAAGTGTAAATGGAAAGATCATACTCTCTCTCTCTCTCTGCATCTCTCGGCTTATTGCCTGGCGAAGCATCTCATTAATTAATGATGATTGTTATGTGTTTCCATAGCCACCCAGCAGCCTTCCCTCCTTTGAAGAGCCAGGTTTCTCTTTGTCATCTGTTCTTCTCTCTCTCCCACACCTCCCTCGCTTTTGCTGACGTTTGGTACTTTGTGTGTATGTTCCGTATTGTTCCCCATCCTCCTCGTTTAACTGTGGCCTTCCTTCTTGATTTGTGTCTTGTGTTTCATTCTTTTCACACTTTTTTTCCAGCACCCAGAGCTTTGCATTCATGAGCTATCACTGAAATCTAATGCAGCACAATTGAAAGTAAATACCCTGTTCTGTTATTTTTTCTGAAAACAAGCTACTATTATCTGTGAAGCCAAAGGATCACTGCAGAGAGGTGCATTATATGATAATTGAAGTAGATGCTTATGTGTGTCTGTATTAAAATGAAAGTGCAGGCAACAACACGTGCATTTGTTTCACTTTTTTATTATTATTTTTTTATATATTGGGCAGAACACCTTTTGTGTCTATAAATGTTTTTATTCTCTCTCACACCATGTCCTACTGGTTTCCAGCGACAAGCAATTTGTCAAAGAGTGAAACTTGTAAGCAACATGACCAGTTGACAGAATGGTCACTTGCCCTTTTGCCACTTAACTATTACATTTTGTTGATCTTGTACCATCCATTTTCTTGCCTTGTAAACATAAATGTTTGGTTTTTTGTTGCTGATTTGTAACCAGCTTAGTTATCTGAGGTTTTGTAGAAATTGCAAAAATTAAGCATACGTATGAATCTGATAAACTACAAACAATTCAAACTTCAGTACAAACATCAGTAATCATATACCACTGTTTCTCAGCAAAAATATGTTAATGAATTAATCGATTAAGATTATAGCTATATAGTTTTCAGATTGTAACACGTTTTCTGTTGTTTTTTTTATATTTTGAATCAAAGATTATTGTAAAGAAAACTTAGCATTTAAAAAATATTTATGTTAATATTAATTTACTGTAAATTAATGTTAATACAAATTCATTGTAGCTATATCAGTTTCAGCTTGTTGCAAATTTTCTGTCTATAAAGAAAAACATTTATAACATTTTATTAAAAAAGAATTTTAAATTAATTTCTTATTCCTTTATTTTTCTCATGTTATTTTTCCATTCACACATAAAAATGGATCACTCAGAACTACTGGGTGACTAAGGGAAAAAAAAAATTTCCTTAGTTGAGTCCTGTTATTATTTAATTATTTTTTAAAGGCTCCGCAAACCTCTCGATTTGGTACTATATCTCAACAGAATATTTTCGTGAGTTTCATGTGGTGAAAAAAGTTAATAAAGGAATAAGATTTAGGTCATGTGTATAGAACTAGACAGCTGTCAGCAGAGCTGATATTGTTATCGGCCTACTAGGAAAATATAAAATCCATAACGGTAATCAACAAGCCAGTAAAAAGAAATGTGAGAAGAAATAACTGACAAAATGAGAATGTTTTTAATTTTTATAGTACACCCACCTTATACCAAATGTTACAACAGCTTGTCATTATACAGCCCAAGAACATCCCAACTGTCCTTGTAATTCAAGTTCTTATACACAGTAATGTAAAATGTAAAAATGCAAAAAATGTCTGTGAGAATGAAAGATTTTAAATATCATTAGGTGTGTATAAAAGCAGTTAAGCCAAAGGAAAGTCCTTGCATTGATAGGAGTGTTTGTGTTCTCCAGCTTCAGAAGAGCAAAGAGCGAGAGGAGCAGCTTGAAGATGTCATTCAGGCCTATGAGAAAATCCACATGGAGAAGTCCAGCCTTCAGCGAGACCTAGACAAGATGGTGAGAACTCTCATAAAACATTCATTCCATGACATCCATGCTAAGTTTGGCTGCTGAGCGGATGGGCAGTTGCGATAATTAGCCTCTCCATGTGCTTCAGGCTTTAATCCAACCAGGTGTCCACTTGATTAATCTTGTACTCTCATACATCCTAACGGGGCTGTGTGAATCTAATTGGGCTCTTATATTACCCAGACAAGCCCCTCATATAAGTGGATTATGCTGGATATCTGTAATCATATATGCACATTTGCAGCGTCAGTTTTAAACATGAGTCTCAAATGGCTTCGAATGGATTTGAGTTCTTGAAAAATGCATGATGAAAGCGTTTGTATGAAGGGCCGTACAAGCCATAATTCATTCTGGCACTCTCACACACTTACATTCTCCTTTCACATACATACATTTTCCTCTTATATTCATATGAGTTTATGCACACATATATACATTTTGCTCTTATGCAAATGTATTCAAATGATACATTTAATATTATAAATAATAAAGGTATATAAGAAGAAAATGCATGTATGTGTGTATGTAAGAGAAGAATGTATGTATGTGTGAGAGAGTATAATGAAAAGGTGAATGATGGAAACGGAAGGCAGGTTAGGCGCGATCAGTGTTACGTTCAAGACAGGTCCTGATCAGCATGGCTGAGGTAGATGAGGCGGCCGCAGAAGTATTTCAGCAAGCTATTTGGGTTTTAAAAAACTATTATAATCTTGAAAAGTTTACATATTTGGCCTCGTCCCTTGAGCAAGTTGTAATTTAGGGCGCGGGCGCAGCCTCCGCCGTGTTGCCAGATACATTTATTATAAGCATCTATGGATTTGTTTTTTCAACTTATGTGACAATTTCAAGTAGATATAACTGCAGACCGGAGATCTCCAAAATGGGGCGTGAACTCCAGAAGTGGACAGAACCTCCAAAATGGGGTGGGGTCTCCTCGTGCAAAGAATTTCACCATTGGCTCTGGCTCCAGCCAATTGTTATTGACTTACATTTCAAAATAAAACTTTATAAATTAAACATTGTTTCTAGTTCATCTAAAATTAAATATGCTATATAAGTAAATATTCTCTGAGAGAGCAGAGCCCAAAGCTCGTGGCCAGTGGTGTTCGGACTGGAGTTTGAACCTCTGCTTAATGATATAAAGGAGAATAACCCACGAGCTCTCTCGCGAGCCGTCCCAGCGCAGGGGAAAAATTTTACACTATCACTTTGTTCTAAGCAACAGGGGCCTCCCGGGGCTTGAAATTCGCAGGGTAGGAGGGGGTAGTGACACTGGGTGTAAATAAAAGGGTGCCATTGTCCGGTGAGGTCCAGTTGGGGAGTTACGAAATTATCTCATATCGCATAATCTTATTAACTGTTTATCTCCTGAATTGCAACTTTCTTTACCACGCTATTCAGCGCCAATCCCGCCATGCAGTCAATTTCACTGGTTAAGGTTAGGGTCAGGTGTGGGGTAGGTTTAGGGGTTAGCATTTTTTGTAGCATAGTGTAGGAAATCAACACTTTAATTGACACAACCAATAAAATCTTTAGAATCAGCTGTGGGGCGGAGTTTGCACTGAAGTGGATTGGGGGAAAAAATTGCGCATGCGTGTCATGTGCCTGTCTGTCAATGGGAGGAAGCCACGCCCTATTTTGGAGCTCCCACCCCGTTTTGGAGTTCCCGCCCCCATTTGGAGATCTCCGGGCTGCAGTTATACCCTTCTTGACAACTTAGGAAGTCAATAAAGTGTGAGGTTTCAGGTTGAGGTCAGCGATATCTTTATATTATTTCCAAAGCTCGAGATTTGGACTTATTTCGGTTCATTTATTTTTAGATTGTTTTGTTTATTTTTGGTAGCAATATCTGTCAACACTTGACTGACAGTAAACAGCCAATAAACAGCGCGGGCAGGTTATTCATGACAGGGTACCACATTCGGTCACACAAGTAGTGATCATCATGATATTATCTGTAAGAAACGGTATCAACCAGGGCTCGCCAGTGTGAGAATCTCGGGACAGTTGACGGATCTGTCACTGGCCGGACATTCAGCCCACCGCAGCGTCATCACAAAAGATTGATTGTGGCAAGGCCAGTGAAAAATTTTGCCAGGGCAAGTAAAAATTTTGAACCACTGGGCAATTAGAGAATTAACTTAGCGTTGGGCCCTGTGAACACTATCAAAATCAGTATCATAACACTTGTACACAGATCTGTAGAACAAGTAGGTTACAAAATGAAATGTTAAAATTAAAAATTAAAATGAGAAAACTTAAAACTGTACTTGAAAAGAAAACAGGATGACTTTGAATAGCATAACTGTATGAGCTGAGCAAGTATTGCATATGTATTTCCTGGTTTGAGAGTGACTTCCTGCTTAAAGAGGAAGTAATGGATAAAAGAAAATAGATGAGACATACATGCATATGAGTGTGAAGTATATAAATATGTGAAAGTGACAATATATGTATGCGAGTTATAATGTAGGTATGTAAGAATAAAGAATACATATGTGCTTGAAAGTAAGCAGAAACATGTATGTGAAACAAGAATGTATGCGTGTGAGAGTAGAAACATATGAATGTGAAAGGAAAATGTATGTGTGAGAGTAGAAATATACAGTATGTATGCGAAAGGAGTGTGTGAGTGCACCAGAATTAATTATGGCTTGTACGGCCCCTCATACGTTTGAGCATCTGTGCCGTTCTCCTCTCTGAAATATTCAGCCAGCTATACATCTACATGTTCTCATCTTTTATTGCTGACAAAAATTCCTCATGGATGAGAATGTCGGAAGAATCTGCATGGTGAAGTAATGGCCTCTTTGCCCTTGTATATCTTTTGATCAGTCCCTCATTGCCTGCCTTACTCTCAGTACTTTCTCTTGGCGTTTCATTTTTATTCTTTTATAATCTTTTACTTTTGTGCCCATCTCTTTCCCTTTCCCTCTCTTCTTTTCTCTTTCTTCTCTCACTCTTTCCCGGGCTCAGGCGTCTCTGGTGGAGAAACATGTTGAGCGGATTCACAGTTTAGAGGCTGCTCTGAGGCAGAGGGAGAGCTCACTACACAAACTCAACACACAGCTGCACAACAAAGACATGCAGTACCTGCAACTACACAGCCCTGACTCACATAGTAAGTCTTGTTTTGTCTGTATGCATGCAGGTGTTAATTTATAAATCACTCAGTGGTCTAGGACATGCAGATATTTACCTAAAACCGCTACCACTGACTCATTCACTGCTCAGTAATTGTCACATACAGTCAAAATCAAAATTACAGAACAATCTATAAATACTTGATTTTATTTCAGAATGGTTGTTAATCTTCATTGCTCAAAATTTGAAGGAATATTAGCTGTAGGTATACCACTCTCATACATGTTTGTAACTATACAACTAAACAAAAATTTTGGAGGGTTACAAGCTGTGCTAAATTAATTTAGTGTTTTCAGCATCAAGGAACTGATTTACCCATTTTGCACTGTGACGGAAACATTGTCTTGCATGAAAATTGCTGGTTGATTGAGACATGCTTGCAGGGAAGGTACCACATGTTGCTGAAGGAGATCCTTACCCTGTTCATCGCTGAACTGGCGAGCAATTCCAGCTGCAGTGTTGAACCGATTCCCCATTGAGTGTCTCCGCATTTACCCGTCTTCTCATGCATTTGTCTTACATGGATGACCAGCCTTTTGGGGGACTTGAATGAATTAGTGTCATTGTAATGCTGTAATATTCGAGAAATCACATATTTGGAATGACCAGCTTCTCTTGCAATGGCTGAAAGGGTCATCCATTTGGCCTTCATCTGGACCGCTTCCTGTTGTAGGGTTTCAGTAACCTTAGAGCAATCATCTTGCAATCTCAGTGAAAATTAGAGGAATGCTGTCAGTTAAATATTATATTGTTTATAATTATTATATTGTATATAATTATATTGTCATATAATTAAGGAAATTTGCACTAGTAAATTAGCACCAGGTGCCAGATTAACACCAATAATTTGGAGGTATATGTAAGTGTTCTCTAATTTTGATCAGAGTTTTGATCAGAGTACAAGGACAGAGTGAACAAAAGTGAGTGCATTCGGACAATATTGCACTTTGTATGATCTTACAGTTGTTTCACATCCTGAATGACAAGAAAACTATTTGAAATCTGTTCAGACTGAGATGAAAAACAATCACATATTAGATATGGATATGATTTGGATTAGGTTTATAAACAATGTTTTTTTTCTGTTCAGACTAATTAAAACACTAAATAGTTACAACAATACAACAACCTATTTAAAAACTTAAAAATAAAATGTATCCTTTAATTAAATACCAACTCTCGCTGTACAAGTAAATTGCATGCAATCTAACTGACAAGCTGCAACTTGACTGTTCACACACACACACACACACACTGTACGTGTGAAATAAACACGTGGGACCCCCCAAATCCGGAACTGTGTAGCCTCCATCGCTTCCGTCCATATTAGAGCCCTGCACGGGCCTCAAATATAGGCCCTAGCCCGGCCCTGGCCCGAGACGCTCAGGCCCTAGCCCGGCCCGGGTCCGACAGCTCATCAGAATTCTTGGCCCCGAGTCCGACCAGAGCCCGTCTTGTTTTCCCCCCTTCTCCCAAAACAGCTTATAGCTATACTACTGTTTCAGCTATTAAAATAGTTCAGTTTTGTAGCTATGTAATGTCAAAGTGATTATATTTCGTTTCGTTTTTTTTTTAGTTAATTTAGAAAAAATCTTTCTAAATTTTTTTGTTCGTTAAATGTACATTTTTGTTTTTTAACGACCAAGTGGCCAGCGGCAGACAGTCATAGCCTATGTTTGATCAATTTAGCCTTCTCAAATCATCACGACTTGCCTAAAATAAAATCTATAGATATAAAACAGTTCAAGCATATCACAATGCTAGTTTAAATGTTTAACCTATATAAATGTGTGCTATTGGACGCATATCTATTCGTTTGTGCGGAGAGCTAAAGCGCGCTTTACAGGACATGGAGGCGCCGGCGCGATCACTTGCATTGGAAACAACTTAAAATATGCCGTAATTATTGCTCATAAAGGTAAGAGTAATACATAACTCAGAACTGTAAAGGGTCTACTTTTATTTGTGTGCACTCACAATATCAACAAAACGGTGTGCTTTTATAACATAAAGTATACATACAGGATGCGCTTTCTGCAATTTTGGCCAGGAGCGCTTCACAATGATGAACCGAAACTCAGCGAATACCTGCCTCACAGACTTGCTAAGTGTATCTATAGAAAGCTTTAAATTACTACTTTAAAACTAAATAATTCAAATCGAAAACAAAAACTCTTTCATTATAAAATCCATAAAGATGCATTTATCTCTAAAAGCACGTCCAATGAGGAGATGGCGAGTCAGGATCGTCATCTTCATCTTTGCGATAAGGACTCAGAAAACATTAATTTATTAATAAATAATTCAAATATCTCCTTACTATTTCCCCCGACACATTCATGGTAATTACTTTTGCCGGTGCTTTGCGTCAAGCTTAAGCCTATTGCGTGCATTTGAACGCAGAACTGTTCAGCTGCGCTGACGGCAAGCTCGCTGCTGCTGGACACTAAACACCGTCGAGCCGCTCTTGACAGTCGCGGCAGCACGGTCTCGTGTTGTTTCCACCAGCGCGGCAAATTATTACTTTTTCATCACTAATTGATAGATGTCTAAAATATAAAAATAGGAGAAGCCTAAAGCCCGGCCCGCGTCTGAACTATGACGTGAAAATTGTACCGAAGCCCGGCCCTAGAGGCGTAGTAAAGTCGGGGCCTGTTGGTCCCGGGCTGAAATGCAGGGCTCTAGTCACGGTCAACTGTCACCTGTATGCTAAAGCGTGCGTATATGCGTTTCGTCTAGGCAATGTATACTATTTATAATATAATGAATATAACAATATTTCATACAGTAGCCTATGTCTGTTCTGCGTGTATATGGGGACAATAAAAGTAGAGAAGCTAAATGAGCCCGAGTCCGACCTGAGCCCGATCTTTAAAAAAAAAAAAAAAATGGCCCGAGCCCGGCCCAAATGGACTCAGCGTGTTGGGCCCCGTCGGGCTTGCAGACCTCTAGTCCATATCTCACGCCATATTGCCATGGTTTAATTTGCTTTCGTGTAGTGAGGGGAAAAAAACACTTTTGGGCAATTGGTTCTTAGCTCTGCTGTTTGATACCCTCACGTGGGGCAATGAAAATTTCTGAAATGTCAGAAATGTATCTGACCATCAGATTGCCAGTCGGGAGAGGTTAATTGTCTCTCGTTACCCCCTATATGCTGCACAACAAACGACGCACAGCAAAGCTTAAAGGGGACATAACACACACAGTTTCACCCAATCTCGTGTTAATCTTGAGTACCTATAGAGTAGTATTGCATCCTTCATATCTCCAAAAAGTCTTTAGTTTTATCATATTTATAAAAGAAAGATACAGCTTTACGATTCTCTCCAGAAAAAGCCGAGCTCCTGGAGGCGCGCCGTGGGCGGAGCTAAAGATTGACGAGCACTTGAGCGCCGAATGCCAACAAAACAGACATTTGATGCCGTTTCACTTACCGTCTGCAGTTCTGAATCATGACCGGGATCTTTTATAGCTGGGACTGCTCCATCTTTCAGTATCAAACAATGTGCAAATCCAGTGTCGAACTGGGCCTTGTTTATAAAACTTTCGTCAACAAACACGCTTGTGAAACTGCGTTGCTGCTCCAGAAAAACAAACTGCATCCACTGTTTACATAACGCTGGGTTCTTTAGGAAGCTGAACAAAGTTATCTTTCCCTTACAACCAAAAACACACTTCTTTAGAGACATTCTTCCCGAGAGAGTCCCATGCAGCTCTGCTGAATGAAACGCGTTGATGGGCGCGCTCTTGCTCTCGCTGTGGTCGATGCGTGCACGTGCGCGCTCTTCCGGGAGAAATGCCCATATAAGGAGTTCCACCCTCGTCTACGTCATGAAGAGCCACGATCGGAAAAAACTCTCCGAAACTTGTACAAACCCGAAATACTCTGTCATACGTCCAAATTGTTTTTTTAAATTTTGTCCATGCTTAGCATGAGAATCCAACTCTTCAACAGTGTAAACAACTCTGAATGCATGAAACAGCATTGTACCCTTTAAATAAGAAAGTTCACCCTATAACAATTACAAAATTTAAAAAGTACAATTATTAAACAATTAATTTTAAGTTAAAGCCTTTAACTTACTGCATATAGGGGGATTTTTTTTAAAGGGGTCATATGATGCGATTTCAATTTTTCCTTTCTCTTTGGAGTGTTACAAGCTCTTGGTGCATAAAGACTTCCCGAGCAAGTCCCGTGCAGCGCTGCCGCCGGATGAAGTGTGTTGATGGGCGGGATCTTGCTCTCACTCTGGTTGATGCGTGCACGGACGTGCTCTTCCGGGAGAAATGCCCATATAAGGAGTTCCACCCTCGTCTACGTCATGAAGAGCCACGATCGGAAAAAACTCTCCGAAACTTGTACAAACCCGAAATACTCTGTCATACGTCCAAATTGTTTTTTTAAATTTTGTCCATGCTTAGCATGAGAATCCAACTCTTCAACAGTGTAAACAACTCTGAATGCATGAAACAGCATTGTACCCTTTAAATTCGGCTTAATTTAAAAAAAAGGGGGAGGGGGGGGGGGGTCCAAACGACTTAGAAATCGACTGTGTATGCCCCAGTTTTTTTTTTTTCTTTCTATGTAGCATACGTAGCATTTTTGGGGGAAAGAAAATCCTCTACCGGTCAAAATGACCACAACACCAAATGAGATATATTGTATATACATCAGGTTGTTTATTAGCATACAGTCTTGTTCATTATTTGTCATTTGATGTGCCTTTTTAATTTGTATTCCACTCCAACAACAGATTGTGTATTGGGGTCTTTGAAGTGTCCCTTTTCATTATGCATCACATTTTCTATCCAGTTTTTAATCTAGCCTAATTTTGTTTTTTTCAAAGAGCACCTCTTTTTCAAAGAGACTTCAAACAGGGCCAAGCGTCGGTCCTCTTGTCCTTTTGGTCCTCTTTGTTTTTTCCCCAGATGACAGTGTTGTGTTGCATCTCTCTCATTTTACCCCATTTCCCACTTCCATTCTCTTTCCTTTCACTGTCTCTGAGGCTCAGAAAAGACTCTCACCTCAAAGAGAATATGTAACTAAAGGGAAAGCATATTTGCGAGAAGAAGGTCATACCTTTCCCCTGTGACCTCTCTCCAGGATCTAAAACGTTTCAGTCAAACTCAAAGGCACTGAACAGGAGTCAAAAATTCCAGAGAACTCAAGCAAATTATGTTTTTATGTAAAGTACGCAACAGAGATGTTCTGTAACCCTGTCAGAAAATAATACAAGAATGATGTCAATTTTGTGTGCGCTCATGAATACAAATATTACATGCAAATATGAAAAAAAGAATAAAAATCATTTCACTGCGGTTTTGGTGTGAGATGTAGGCGTTGCAGGGGTGTACGTTTTCAGCTTGCTTATTGCTGAACTGTCACAATAGCCGCTGGCTCAAGGACGGCTTTTCTATGAGCTGCTGAATCACCATGCCCACGCCTGGGGTGAGGGGCAGGATGCTCTGACAGGAAATAGTTCAGTCTTGAATTCTCCAACTTCAAAGTTTCATAGCTACATGGAGTAAAGGATGCGTGTAGGGAGACTTTAGGTCGGATTTCAGTCCTGTTAACAATGTTGGCCCTGAGGCGGCCACCAAACCTCCTGTCCAGACATTTGTAAGTTGGCGCCTGTTTCTTTTGGCAGAAGGAGGAGAGAATTTCCCATTACATAACGTAAAGAAATGCAAATGAGATATTTGTTGGTCTGTTTTGAGTGACAGATGTGATGAGAGATCTGTTGCTTCAAAGACATGCTGTCGGACAATTTGTCTGCAGCCTCATATGTCAGAGAACATTCTGAGTATGTTTAAGGAACACCAGAAATGTATTGATATTCCTCTAACATTATACTCCATATTTTTCTATGATTTATTTAACTCTAAACGAGTGCAAACTCCACTTAAACTTTGAGAAGATTGCGAATTAATTTTAACCATTGATTAGCAGTGTATTTTTAACTTCAAATTTGAAAATCGCCTTTTGTTCAAAATAACATTGATAATAATGTCACTATAATATCTGCGCACTGTACTGCATTTGGTTTTTTTGCATTAATTTGCATACTGACTTGAGACTGCTCTGTCATGTACTTTGTGGCCCTATATAAACAAAAAAACAAATAAATAGATAAATAAATAAATAATAACTAGTATATGTGACTAATAATAATAATAATATTACATTAATTGAAAAAAGTGTGGAAATGTAAAGTGGTCATTATAAAAAAAATACAAACC